TTAATCTGTTCTGATGTAGAGCTGCTACTCTCTGTTGTTGTCCTTCTACTTATCTCCTCTGCTCTTGGTTTTGTAGCCCCTTTCCTTTTTTGATTTTTCAGGAATGAGGGTTTTCCTGAGGATTTCCTGAAGAGGAGGTTTTGTGGCAATGAACTCCCTTAATTTTTGTTTATCTGGGAAAGTTTTTATTTCTCCATCGTATTTGAAGGATATTTTCGCTGGGTAGAGAATTCTCGGCTGTAGATTTTTGTCCTTCAGATTTTTGAATATATCATTCCACTCTCTTCTAGCCTGTAAAGTTTCTGCTGAGAAATCTGCTGATAGCCTGATGGGGGTTCCTTTGTAGGTTAGTTTCTTTTGCCTGGCTGTCCTTAATATTTTCTCCTTGTCATTGACTTTTGCTAGCTTCACTACTATATGCCGTGGAGTTGGTCTTCTTGCATTGATAAAGTTTGGAGATCTATTGGCTTCTGTCACCTGAAGATCCATCTCCCTCACCAGATTTGGGAAGTTCTCAGCCATTATTTCTTTGAATAGGTTTTCTGCCCCTTTCTCCTTCTCTTCTCCCTCTGGTATACCTATAATCCTTACGTTGCATCTCCTAATTGTGTCTGATAATTCTCGGAGAGTTTCTTCATTTCTTTTAAGTCTTGCTTCTCTCTCCTCCTCTGCCTGCAACAATTCTATATTGCCATCTTCCAAATTGCTAATTCTTTCCTCCATATTATCGGCCCTACTGTTCAGAGCATCTAGATTTTTCTTAATCTCCTCTATTGTGTTCTTCATTTCCAATATTTCTGTTTGGTACTTCTTTATCATATCAAACTCTTTTGTGACATAGCTCCTGAACTCGTTGAGTTGACGGTCAGAATTCTCTCTTAACTCATTTGAGAATCTTAATAATGGGCAGTTTTGAAGTCATCATCATTTAGGGTATATATCTCATTTTCTTTGGGATTGTTTTCTGTGTATTTGTTACTTTCTTTCTGTTCTGGAGATGTAATGTATTTTTTCATATTGCTTGATGATGGTGATTTGTGCCTCCGGCATGGGAGATAGAAGTTTAGTTGCTCCTTTCACTTGTTTCAGCTGCTGCGGTGGGGGGAGCAGCTGTTTATACTTCACCAACCAGGAACCCTGTCCGTAGTTGCTAACTGGGCCTGGGCCCCTCTTCGTAGCCACAGTGGCCCTTTGGATTCCCTCCTCTGCCATGGGGGCCGTCACAGGGGGGCTTCAGGCTGCAGGTGCCTACTGTTGTTGCCCACCTAGATGCGCTCTCTCCTTGGGGTCTGCAACGGTGTTATGGGCTTTTCCAGCGGCCAGGGGTGGGATCACTTATATTTGTCGCTCCGTTGCTGTCGGCACCCACCAAATCTCACTTGTCCTCTATGGGTCGCAGGAGAGCTATTGGCATCTTCTACAGTCTGTGGTTAGTACACCTAGCTATGCTGCTTTTGCCCTGGGGTCTTCCAGCCTTGTGGCTGGCGGCTGGGTGCCTTCTACTGGTGCTGTGCAGAGGCTTTCCCTAAGGCTGCTGTGAGCCTGTAGGGTTTCCCCCTAGGCTACTAAGCTGGGTCTCTGGAACTCTCTCCAGCCCCAGTCCTCTCCGAGATCTCTGGCAATCCCTAGCCTCACGGGGTGGGCAACGGCAGCTGGCGGTCGCCCCGCCCTCTGGGATTCTCTCCGGGCCTCTCCCGGAGCCGTGAATGCTCAGCGTGGCCCCTCTGCTAACGGCACACAGAGAGTTTTGTCTGCTGCCCGGGCGGAGCTCCGGCGCTTCCCCTCCGGGTCGCAGAACCGGCCTTTGAAAGTTCCCCCAGCCCCGGTCCTCTCCTCTCTGAGATCTCGGGCAATCCCTAGTCCCACGGGGCGGGCAACGGCAGCTGGGGGTCGCCCCGCCCTCTGGGCTTCTCTCCGGGCCTCTCCTGGGAGCCCTGAATGCTGGGCGTGGCCCCTCTGCTAATGGCAGACAGAGAGTTTTGTCTGCTGCCTGGCGGAACTCTGGCACTTCCCCTCCGGGTCGCAGGACCGACCTTCGAAAGTTCCCCCCACCCCGGTCCTCTCCGAGATCTCTGGCAATCCCTATCCCCACGGGGCGGGCAACGGCAGCTGGGGGTCGCCCTGCCCTCTGGGGTTCTCTCCGGGCCTCTCCCGGAGCTGTGAATGCTCAGCGTGGCCCCTCTGCTAACGGCACACAGAGAGTTTTGTCTGCTGCCCGGGCAGAGCTCCAGCGCTTCCCCTCCGGGTCGCAGAACCGGCCTTTGAAAGTTCCCCCAGCCCCGGTTCTCTCCGAGATCTCCGGCAATCCCTAGCCCCACGGGGGGGGCAACGGCAGCTGGGGGTCGCCCCGCCCTCTGGGCTTCTCTCCGGGCCTCTGCCGGGAAGTTTGCGTATTTTCAAAAGCATCTTTATTACCTGGCCCTATGTTCTTTCAATGGATCAGACTTGAAAAGTGAAATATATAAGTGTCTATAAGAGGATTATAGAACACTAGAAGTTTCATTTTCAGATTTCTTGCCCTTAGGCCAAGAAAAAGCAAAGCAAACAAGGTGTGGTGCTCTCTTGAATGCTCTACAACGTGTCATATTTATCCTTTAAGGCTCGGCTCCAGGAAGTGTTTTACCATTCCCCTCAAACCCGTGATCTCTTCTTCCTTTGATCCCCACATCATGGGTTCAGATCTCTCATCCAGCACTTCTCACACTCCGCATTCTCTCACCCAGGCTTTTTTCGGACCAGCCACTCCCTGCCTTTCCCTGCTCTACCTTCTGGAGCTGGGCTTTTAACCTGAGGACTATGAACCTCCTAAATTATACATAAAAATAGTGTTTCTGCAGGCATAAATACGTTTCGTGGAGAGAATTCACATATTCATCAAATCCTCAGAAAAGGTCTGAGACTCAAAAAAGGTACAGAACTGTAGTCTGGCGAAAAGATCTGTGCCTTTACTATCCTTGGATTCTCTACAGTGCTTCTACCTTAGCATCCACCTTTAAATGGATAAACACCTGTTGATTTAAAATTTTATTAATAAATCATAAAATCAAAGTTAGGTTCTGGTTCAATAAATCTTTTAAAATATATTTTCCTCATCCTCCATTCCCTCATCTTAATATGAAAAGCACTATTTCTGAAAGGAGAATGGTGGTTACCAGGGGCCAGGGGAGGAGGAAATTGAGAGTTATTATTTAATGGGTACAGAGTTTCAGTTTGGGAAGGTGAGAAAGTTCTGGAGATGGATGGTGAGGATGGCTGCACAACAATGTGAATGTACTTAATGCTGCTGAACTGTTATGTATATTTTACCACAATAAAAAAAATATTACTTTTTATTCTCATATAATATTAATTACCTATTACATGGCAGACTCTCCATAAGAGGAAAGGAATAAAGAAATAGACCAGTTAAATTTTAGGATATAAGAAAGAAATCCTCCAAGGAGAAGAAAATCTTAACTCCAATCTACACATTGTTGGGTTGAGTACAAGCACAAATCAAAAGAGGGCGATATAATCACAAACCCTATCCAAACAGAGGGGCTGCTATCTGAGTAAACAAAGGTAAGTTGCTTGGGGACATCAGTTTATTTGTGTGAAGTAAATTAAACTTTTTCAAGGTGCCAAGTCACAACTCAAGGAATAAATGGTAATTTAGCCCAACTTTATCAATGCATTATCCACATGAATAATGTAAGCATCTTGGAAGCCTGCAATAGGCATTTCAAGGTGTGAGGAGCACATTTTATTCAATAACATTTAGTGAGTATTGCTAACATTTAGAAACGTAAAAGTCCCAAAACTACTTAAAAAAAGAAAAAGCAGGCTATATAGTACACTGATTACAAAAAGGAAGAATTATTTTCCTATGTTACTTCCCTTTTTTTTCCCTTACCAAAAAGTTTCAGACTCTTTGAAGGTTACAAATATATTTAAACATCAAAAACACTCATATTAGGGGCCAACTTGGTGGCACAGCAGTTAAGTTTGCACGTTCGACTTTGGCAGCCCAGGGTTCGCCGGTTCGGATCCCAGGTGCGGACCTACGCACCACCTGTCAAGCCATGCTGTGGCAAGCGTCCCACATATAAAGTAGAGGAAGATGGGCACAGATGTTAGCTCAGGGTCAGTCTTCCTCAGCAAAAAAGGGGAAGACAGGTGGCAGATGTTAGCTCAGGGCTACTCTTCCTCAAAAAAAACAAATTCATATTAATGATGCTATATCAATATTTGAAAACAAGGTATATATCTTATCAAAAAGATAGATTCTAAACCTTGTGATGATTAAATGTCAGTGATATCTCTTAGTTACTTATTACCAATGAATAATTGATTTGCAAAACATTACAAAATTCCATTGTTTTCCCCAAATTCCTTATATTTAAGAGAGATTTACAAATATTTCTCCAGTGGAACCTAGGAAAAATCCTTATAAACAGATTCAACATAAAAGCTAACTAATAATATTTGAGTTCCAAATCATAAAAAAGATATCCACTACCATATTGAAGTATTGTATATTTGATGTAAGCTAATATGCTTATTGATCTCTTGACTTTAATGTAAAACAATTAGCAGAATATAAAATTTTCCCATAGTAGTATTTACCAAAAAGCCAAATTTTCCTAACATTTACTCTTATTTAGTATTTACTCAATAAACATTTACTGAGTGCCTGCCATATATCAGGCACTAGGCTGTAACTGCTGGACAGCTGTGACCCAAACAGTCATGTTCCATCTAGATAATTCTTAAATGCTACTGCTTTTCTAGAACTCAGATTTACATCACCATCTTTTCAAACTGTCTTTAGTTTTTGTAAACATACTAGTTCTGGTAACATTTTGAAAAATTCAACTTACGAATCTGATCTCTAAAGGGAAATTTATAAATGGTTGTTTTCTCAGACATAAAAATGCTTGCCTCTCGTGGAGTCTGTTTTTCTGTATGGCGATAGCAAAACATCAAAGACAGCACAAATTACCTTAAACTTTAAGACTTACCTGAAATGGGAATATTCTGTGAGACTGATAACTGCACATCTCCAGTTCCTGGTGGCATGTCAACAACTAAATAGTCCAGTTGACCCCAATCTACCTGAAAACCAAGATGACACAAACATCATTGTGTAACGACTGCAGTGAACAGTGACGTAAACAAACTAAATTGTGAAGCACAAACCCAACAGGCCACACTGGGCATGACTCAGGGCCAGGCTGTGCGGAGGGCTAGGGCAAGGGAGGGTTAGGGCAAGGGAGGGTTAGGGTAAGGGAGGGAGAGGGTAAGGGAGGGCTAGGGTTAGGGAGGGTTAGGGCAAGGGAGGGAAAGGGCAAGGGAGGGTTAGGGCAAGGGAGGGTTAGGGTAAGGGAGGGAGAGGGTAAGGGAGGGCTAGGGTTAGGGAGGGTTAGGGCAAGGGAGGGAAAGGGCAAGGGAGGGTTAGGGCAAGGGAGGGTTAGGGCAAGGGAGGGTTAGGGTAAGGGAGGGCTAGGGTTAGGGAGGGCTAGGGCAAGGGAGGGAAAGGCGCAGCCCAGCCTCCAGCAGACCTTCTCCGACGACCAGGCTGCGTTTCCAAATGCACCCGCCGCCCGCCCGCACACTCACAGTGACCCATTTCACAATGGCTTCCATTCAGGACTAACCATTATTCTCACCGGGAATAGCCCATATTTTACCTAAAAAGGCCTCAGCTTTTTGTCCTTTGGGTTTTTTGGTACAGCATTTCCCACAGCAGATCCTAATATAATTTTTCAGTTTATTATTTTTCCTTCAGGAAACACACTAATAATGAAAACCAATACTTAATAATAAGAAAATGTTAGAACTATCACTAGAGTTTCAATACAATTAACATTTTGATATTTCTTTTCAGGCATTTTTCTAAGTATCTATACCTAGAAAATTCAGCTATCTAACCAACTCCTTAATGCTCAGCCTCGATTTAGATGGGTCTCAAGGGTACCTCAGATGGTTCCTCCCTCTGAGCCCCCAGTCTCCGGGAAAGGCTCCAGAACCCTCTCAGCTGCCTAAGGCAGAAACTTGAAATGAAACTTAACTCTTTCCCTTCCCTCACTATCCTAGTCACTTATTCTGCCTTCTAAAAGTCTCCCGAAAGTATCCACTTGTCTCTTTCCCCACTGCCGAGAACCCAACAAAGGCCACAACTATCTATCACCAAAGCCTCCCAACCAATCTCTCTGCTCCGGTGTTGCCCATCCAGTCCAATTCTAACACCGCTGAAAAATGGTCCATCTAAAATGCAAGTCTCATAATGCCACTTTTTTGTTTAAAACTCTTTTATTGCTTTTTATAAAGTCTGAGCTTAAGCTCCAGAACATTCTGCCTGGTCTTCTTCACTTGCTAATTTCTCCTCATTCTTCAGATCCCAGCTTGAAATGTACTTCCCCTAACTTCCAGTAGATTAGATATTGTGTTCCTACTATGCACTTCTCTTAAGCATTCATTCATTCATTCACCCAACAAATGTTTATTGAGACCTATTATATATTAGGCATTGAGCTAGGTATTGATAATTAAATGGTATCATGGTCCCCCAGCCTCACAGAACTTACAATATAGAGGGAGACAGGTATTAAGCACATAATGAAATAACCCGTGCAAAGGAAGGAAATTATTAAGAGTGAGAAACTGAAAGAAGATCAACATAGCCAGAGAGCAGTGGGGGGGGGGGGGGGGGGGGCCCCATTTACTGCTGTTTCATGATCTGTCTTCTCATGAAACTGTATCTGAGTTAGAACACCTAGCACAGAATGGACACACAGGAGATGCTTAATAAGTTGTCTTTCAAGAAATGAATGAATAAATGAACACATGCAAAGATTCAAGGTGTTTTTTTAACCTAAGTGGAAATCAACTGTGTATATAATTCCATATCCTGCTTCTTAAAACTTAATAATGTGAAATAACCCTTTTCCATACAATCATATATTTTTTAAAATTAAAGTTTAGATGATGCTGGGTCCAATGGATTCATTCATGTATATACAAATTTATTCAACAGGTATTTATTGAGAATTGATTAGGTGTGAGGTACTGTTCCAAGTGACGGAGATGGAACAGTGAACAAAACAAAGTCCCAGCCCCCACAGAGCTAACATTTTAGTGAGGGAGAAGGCAGAAAAACAGATAGAAAGACAAATCAGAGAGCAAAAAGTGCGATGAAGAAAACAAGTATCAGAGTCAGCCCAGTGGCATAGTGGTTGAGTGTACATGCTCCCCTTCAGCAGCCCAGGGTTCTTGAGTTCGGATCCCAGGTGTGGACCTGCACACCACTCATCAAGCCATGCTATGATGGTGTCCCACACACAAAAAAAGAAAGGAAGACTGGCTTGGATGTTAGCCCAGCAACAATCTTCCTCAAGTAAAAAACAAGAGGAAGATTGGCAACAGATGTTAGCTCAGGGCCAATCTTCCTCACCAAAAAAAAAAGGGAAAACAAGTATCCCCACCATACAAAATTATTTGGTTCCTGATTTGGATATTCAGATCAAAGAGCAAGCGATATTTTTAAAATCTCTTCAATTCCTGAATTTCAGAGAGCAAGTAGCGAGAGTCCAGACAGCAAAAGGTTTATCAAAGAATTGCTTTGAATCTCTTCGGTTCCCAAGGTCAGATGGTGAGAATACTTGAAGAACAGGGAAAAAGAATAGACTAGTGGGAGGTGCTACTTCAGACAGGGTGGTCGAGCCCTGAGGGAAGTGAGAAGAGAAGTGAGCAGTTGTCTAAGGAGAGCATTCCAGGCACAAGAGGCAGCAAATGCTAAGGCCCTATGATAGGACATGCTTGGCACACTCAAGGACTAGCTGGGGAGGCAGCACAGACTTTCTAAAATAGCACCCCCAACCATCAATCTCTCTCCTCTCACTTTGTTTTTCTTCAAAACATTTACCAGTATCTGACACTACATATTGACTTGTCTTTTAGGAATTCTATATTTCTCAAACACAAGTCCTTGATACTGATTTAATGACACATTTTAAGAGAACAATGAAATGAACATAAAGTAGTTCATTTTCAATATAGGGTTCCTTGGTTTGGAAAATACTTACTCCAAAGTTACCCAGGTCCACTATCTACATGAAATATCTACAGAAAAGATAAAGGATACTTTCCATTTTATTCCCTCTGCACTGAGACTCCTAGCACTGGCAGAGTGACAAGTTTCTTTGTTTCAGAGAACATCAAATGACTGGTGCCAACAATTTATCATTATTGTTCCTTGGCATTTAATCATATTTATCATGTTGGCTCCAATTTCTCATTTCTTTAAGGAGAACTGCTATTAAGGTTCCAAGGAACTAAAAATACTTCACTGTTAAGGCAATTAATTTCAAATGATCTTAAATTGAATTTAAACTATCTGAAAAAAAGAACCTGGCCCAGCACCTCCCTCACTCACAGCAGGCACCCACAAAGGCTTGCTGACTTGAACTGAGCTGGACTGAAATCAGTATCTGAGTTTCGGTTTTGTAGCATTCACCAATACTAACATTGAAATATAGTGGCTGCCAGGAAGTTCTAGTTCTCTTGTAAAAGAGTTGTTAAAGCATTGATTTTAGAATGATTTGGGGATTCTCTAGATTATACTTAGTGTTTGTTTACTTGTATAAATTAAGTGTAACTACATGTAGGGAAATAAGTAGTATCAAAACACCCAGGTATCTCATTTAGTAAAATCCAGGGGCAGATCCAGATTTTGTGTGGCCTGAAGCATATCCAATTTGAGTGGTCCTAAGAGTATAAAATCTTGAGAAAGAAGAACAAAGCTGTAGGCATCACGCGCCCTGATTTTAAGCTCTATTTCAAAGCTACAGTAATTAAAACAGGATGGTATTGGCCTAAAAACAGAAACATAAATCAATGGAACAGAACAGAGAGCCCAGAAACAAACCCATGCATATATGGTCAATTACTTTATGACAAAGGACCCAAGAATATACAATGGGAAAAGGACAGTCTCTTCAATAAATGGTGTTGGAAAAACTGAACAGCCATATGCAAAAAGATGAAATTCGATTAGTACCCTACACTATACACAAAAATTAACTCAAAATGGATTAAAGACTTGAACATAAGACCAGAAACCATAAAACTCCTAGAAGAAAACATAGGCAGTAAGCTCTTTAACACAGATCTTAGCAATGGTTTTTCAAATCTGACACCAAAAACAAAAGTAACAAAAGCAAAAATAAATAAGTGGGACTACACCATACTAAAAAGCTTCTGCACAGCAAAGGAAACCAACAAAAAAATAAAAAGGCAACCTACTGAATGGGAGAAAATATTTGCAAATCATGTATCTGATAAGAGACTAATATCCAACATATATAAAGAACTCATATAACTCAATAGTAAAAAAACAAATAATCCCATTAAAAAATGGGCAGAAGATCTGAATACACCTTTTTTTTAGAGAAGACCCAGGCAAACAGGTACATGAAAAGATGCTCAACATCATTAATCATCAGGGAAATGCAAATAAAAACCACAATGAGATATCATGTCAGAATGGCTATTACGAAAAAGACAACAAACAACAAATGTTGGCAAGGATGTGGAGAAAAGAGAACCCTTGTACACTGTTAGTGGGAATGTAATTTGGTGTAGCCACTACAAAAACAGTACAGAAATTTCTCAAAAAACTAAAAATACAACTACCATATGATCCAGCAATTCTACTTTTGGGTATCTATACAAAGAAAATGAAAACACTGACCCAAAAATACACAGGCACCCCCATGTTCATTGTAGCATATTTACAATAGCCAAATATGGAAACAACTGAAGTGTACATCAATGGATGAATGGATAAACAAATTGTGGTAAATACATACAATGGAATATTATCCAGTCATAAAAAAGAATGAAATCTTGCCATTTGAGACATTATGGATGAACCTCGAGAGCATTATGCTAAGTGAAATAAGTCAGACAGAGAAAGACAAACATTATATGAGCTCTCTTACGTGTGGAAACATAAAATTAAAAAAAAAAAGCAAGGTCATAAATACAGAGAACAGATTGGTGGTTGCCAGAGGCAGAGGGTAGGGGGTAAGAGAAACGGGTGAAGGGGGTATAAA